TTTTGAAAGCATCTTCACACATGAACAGCATGTCTATTTTCACAGAGTTTCTCGCACTGTTCACTATCAAAGCACGTTAGGGAGTAGTGAGAGCGAACTTTAGAAGCTATAAATTGTTTTTATCAATGGATGCCGGTGTGTGTAGTTTTGAAGTCGAAATAGTTTTATAAAAACTAGCATTTCGCCTGTCATTTTTTCTAACATATGTACTGTGTCCAGTTCTCTGATGTTGATCATGTCATTGGAAGCTTGGGCTTAACTAGCGAGCTGCTGTCAGGAAAATCGGGAAGATTTCAGTGAGCAGGGGGAATTCAAGAAAACCCATTGAACGCGGTAAGGAAATAGTTTTCTAGAAATCCCTGTATCAAATCAAAACAGTATCTCCACCATCCAGCCATGCAGCTGGATACTCTCGACCCCATATTTAGCTTACGGTTGTCATCAGCGTACCGCCTAGTCTCAACCCACACCTCGCCTAGTCTAAGCCACAGATCCCTATCACGAGCATGGAAAGCTTGTGGTGCTAATTACGTGTTCTACTGAAATTCTTATGAAACTTGCACTACATACAAGCACTAGACAGAGATCGTGCATACTTCTTCGTTAGAACGCGGTTGAAGTAGACGTTGTCGGTTACGAATGTCTGGTAAACAAAACGCCCAGCAGCACTTCCATGCAGTCGATGTGAACCAGCGCCATAGCCAACGATTTTTTAACGCTATTTTCTTGCTTTTGATTTACGAGCGTGTCGAAATAACAATTTTTGCATGAACCCGGTTACTGGTATAGCTTTTTTTCTAACTGTACACCTTTCCAGTGGAAACTACAAAGATGAACAGAGCTGCAGGACTCCTCCAAGGTACCAGAAGGCTAACCGCCTTTACCGAAGTACGTGCTGTTCACGTTCCGAACGAGGAATCCATACACATTGAGAAACACAAAGATACAGGCTTCGTCGGAATGATAAAGAAGCAGGTGTGTATCCTTTTTATATAAATCTAATATAAAGAATCGTGAGCGCCATTCAAAAAGTTGAGATTGCGGGAAACCGCGTAGCGGTCGTAGAGCGCACGGATGCAAATCTAGCACCTTTATATTGCTGGAGATCGTTAGCTCCATTTTGAAATCATCAAATAGCGGGAAACAGGCGGAGATACCGAAACGAGAGCGAGTGCAAATCTAGCACCTTTAGGATTACTGGTTCAATAGTCTGCTGAAAATTGGCAATCAATAATTTTTTTGAAGCTTTGGAACAGATTTTCTACTGATTACATAGCCGTCATACCGTAGGCCTTGATCTGTTTTGTGCTGTTACCTATTTTTGTTCAAGGTTCATGTTTATAGGTGAACAAAATAGGAAACGACAGAACCCATGCCCTATATGGCGACTATCCAGCTGGAAATGTAAGTCATATCGTACCCTTGAAATCTGAAAAGATTTTTCTGCTTGGTTGCAGGTGGGTCGTCCCAAAGGACAGGAATACCAGCAGCATGAGAGGACCAGAATAGGCCG